TAAATAAATAAATAAATAAATATATATATATATATATATATAATCACTTATTTACTTATCTATATATATATAAATATATATGTAAGTAAATAAATCATTATTTTATATTACTATTTGTTTGCCACAATTTTTAATGTTTTTATATAATACGTATTTTATTATGTTACCAATGTAATATGAAAAATTATAATTTTATCACTTTTAATTCTTATAGAGCTATGACTAATTTATGTTTTATTATTACAGAAAAAAATTTTTTAAAGTTTCATAGCTAAGACAATAAATAAAAATGCAAAAATTTAAACGAGCTCAAGCAGAAAATAAAATAGCAATTAATAAACATTTAGAAGCAAATGCCTATTTAGAATCATCTAGTGAAGATGAAAATGATAGAAATGAAGAAGATATGCAGAATGTAGTCGAAAAGGTTTTAGCTTCTTATCAAGGAAAAGAAGCAGATGCAGAAAAAATGTTATCATATTTAATTAATATTTTCCAATCTGGCAATGCTGTTTGCTTAATATGTATTTCAACCATAAAAAAAGCAGATCCGGTATATTTTTTTTACTCTTTTTTATATATATATATAATATAAAATTCTTATATATATATATATATATATAATATAAAATTCTTTAGATAATTTTCATGTCTTTTAATATATACTTCATTTAATTAATTTTAATGTTTTAGATTTGGAACTGTAACAAATGTTTTGCTTTTTTACATCTGTCTTGCATTTTGCATTGGATACAGGATAGTTTAAATATTAAACGTGAAAAAGGCATTACATTGATATGGGCATGGTAAGAAATACCCTAAAAGATTTTATACATATATATTTATATATTAAATAATAATATATTTATTTAGTTATTGTTTACAAACATGTTTTAGTCCAAAATGTCGTATGGAATATAAGCAAGATGATGTACCTCGTAATTATAAGTGCTTTTGTGGAAAATCTATTGATCCACCATATCATCCATGGAATATTCCACATTCGTGTGGAGAAACTTGTGGTAAATCCTTAAAACCAGAATGTGGTCACAAATGTGTTTTACTTTGTCATCCTGGGCCATGTCCTCCTTGTGCAAAAACAGTATCTATCAAATGCTATTGTGGCAAACAAATGCCTCAACAACGACGATGTAATGCTAAAGAATGGAGCTGTGGCACTATATGCAATAAAAAATATAAATTATGTTCACATACTTGCAAGGAAATATGCCATTCAGGAGAATGTCCACCTTGTTCAAAAGTATTATTATTGGAATGTCACTGTAAGATTAACAAAGAATTAAAACAATGCTATGAAAGTTCATGGACTTGTGATAAACCTTGCGGCAGACTTCTTTCTTGTAATGTTCATACATGCTTAGGTAAATGTCATTTAGTTAATGATTGTGGATCTTGTTTATTGGAACAAAATAGAACATGTCCATGTGGAAAAAAACGTTATGCCATTTCATGCAAACAAGAACAATTACCTACATGTGGAGATACATGTGGAAAATTATTGAATTGTGGTTCACATTACTGCAATATGAGATGTCATATAGATCGGTGTGGACAATGTTTAGAGGTAGTCACAAAATCATGTAGATGTGGCAATTATCAAAAAGAAATTGCATGTGGTAAAGAATTTCATTGCAATAAGAAATGCACGCAAATGCGTTTGTGCGGTAGACATTTATGCAACAAAAAATGTTGTGATTGCTTAATTAAAAATACATATAATATTTGTGAAAAAATATGTGAAAATACTTTAAACTGCCGCAAACATAAATGTGCCGCTCCTTGTCATAGTGGTCCTTGTTATCCGTGTGCACGAACTGATATTATTCAGTGTAAATGCGGATACAATAAAATAATAGTACCATGTGGTACGATAAAAAAAATCAAACCTCCAGCTTGCAATAAATCATGTAAAATACCGCCAATTTGCCATCATCCAAAACGAGAAACTCACAAATGTCATCAAGGTCCTTGTCCACCTTGCAAAAAAATTTGCAACTTAGTATATAAACGATGTGGTCATCTTTGTGTCGCTATTTGTCACACAAAAGTATGGGTAAAAGTATATAAAAATGATACAAAGATACAACCAACTGGACCTTGGGATATACAAAAAGAAACTATGCAGCTAAAAACATTACCTTGTCCACCATGTGAAGTTTCAGTACCAATTACATGTTTAGGAGAACACGAGACACGTCCGTGGCCTTGTCATATGGCTAAATCTACTTCTTGTGGAAGATTATGTGGGAAAATATTATCATGTATGAATCATACATGTAAATTAATTTGTCATAAAATATCATTTTCTAAAGAAGATATAAGTGGTACTCCATGCATGGAATGTGAAAAACCATGTCTATTTCCACGACCACAAGGCTGCACGCATTTATGTCCGAAACCTTGTCATCCTGCACCATGTAGTCCCTGCAAGCAATTAATTAAAATTTTATGTCACTGTGGTATAAGTACTTTATACCGCAGATGTTCAGAACTTACATCAGCTAAAGCAGAACAACGTAATGAATTGCTTAAATGTGGAAATCAATGTCCAAAAAATGTAATTAAATTATTTATTAATTTATTTTATGTTATTATTTTCTGTAATTAAGTAATTATATTCTTTTTCAGTATTCTTGTGGACATCGATGTATAAATGATTGTCATCCAGGTCCATGTAAGAATGAAAAAAAATGCAATAAGAAAGTGAAACTATTTTGTGAATGCAAACGTATTAAGAAAGATTTTATTTGTTCATTGATACAAAAAGATGAAATTTGCATAAAATGTGACGATGTTTGTAACAAATTAAAAATAGAAAAACGTCAAGCTGAGGCTGCTTTATTAGAACAAAAACGGCAAGCAGAAGAAATACGTAATCAACAAGAAATCGAAAAGTTTGAACGAAAATTTAAACCTCGTCGTAAAGGAAAAGATAAATTCGATAAAAGACAATTATTGAATGAAAATTGTAATAATTATAGAAAATATTGGATTTTAGCCATTTTAATATGTTTTATAGGTATTGGAATATTTTGTGCAAGCATTCAAAAATTTTAAACAAAAATATTTATTAAATCTTATGTGTACAATATTTGTTATTTTAAAAAGAAAAAATCTAAGATTTTTGTTATATAATTATATTTTTATTTCTAATTTAATAAATTATTTGAATCTTTAATTTGAATATAATGAATATAATTTAATGTTAATATTTTATATAAATGTACATCAGCATATTATATATTTTTATGATTTTGTGCCATACAATTATAAAAATTTAAGAATTTTTACATGAATTCTATAAATTTTTATCTTAATTATATAACAAAAGATAGCTATTATAAAATAATAATAAATATTGAAAGTACTCCAATTTTATTTCAACAATTTTGACACAAAATAAATTATTTTAAGTCATTATATTAATTTTTATAAAATTTTAATAAAAATTATCCATATATTTAAATTTATTTATATTTACGATTTATATGATGATTTTTTTTTCCTTTCTTCATTGATGGCTATAAATTTTATTCATAAAATATTTCAAAGAGTAGTTAAAAAGTGCCATCTATTAGAAAGTCATTTCTTAATCAAACGTTTGAATCGCCTAACATTAGAGGTTATATTGAATGGATAAGTAATATAAAGTAATTTTATTTTTGTTTACATCAGTGAACTGATAAAAATATAATGGCAGTTCCATCAGTTTCATTATCAACGAGAAATAAAAAGCATTTTTTAGGTGTTCCAGCACCTTTGGGATATGTAGCAGGTGTTGGAAGAGGGTAATTTATGAAAACAATATTTTTTAACCTCTTTTAATAAAATAAACATTAATTTTTAATTATTGATACATTTTCTTTTAGAGCTACTGGATTTACAACTAGATCTGACATTGGTCCAGCTCGAGATGCTAACGATGTTTCGTAAGTATTTTATTATATTTGATTTTTTATCAACATGAAAATGTCTTATATTAATTTTTATATTTCATTTATAGAGATGATAGACATGCTCCACCTACAAAAAGAACAAAAAAAAAGGAAGAAGAAGAAGAAGATGAAGAAGATTTGAATGATTCTAATTATGATGAATTTTCTGGATATGGAGGATCATTGTTTAGTAAGGTAAAATATTCAACAAAAATTCTTTTGATCATATAACTTATTTTATTAAATAATTAAATATTTTGTAGGATCCATATGATAAAGATGATGAAGAAGCTGATGCTATTTATGAGGCAATTGATAAACGAATGGATGAAAAGCGTAAGGAGTACAGAGAAAAAAGACTCAGAGAAGAATTAGAAAGGTATCGTCAAGAACGTCCTAAAATTCAACAACAGTTTTCAGATTTAAAAAGAGAATTGGTAAATGTAAGCGAAGAAGAATGGAAAAATGTTCCAGAAGTTGGTGATGCTAGAAATCGAAAGCAACGAAATCCACGAGCAGAAAAATTTACACCATTACCAGATTCTGTTCTTGCACGAAATTTAGGTGGTGAAACGTCCACTAGTATAGATCCATCAAGTGGTTTGGCATCTATGATGCCTGGTGTAGCAACACCTGGAATGTTAACACCTACTGGAGATTTAGATTTAAGGAAAATTGGACAAGCAAGAAATACTTTAATGAATGTTAAATTGAATCAAGTTTCTGATTCTGTAGAAGGACAAACTGTTGTGGACCCTAAGGGTTATCTTACAGATTTGCAAAGTATGATACCAACGTATGGTGGTGATATCAAGTAAATGAAATATAAAAATATTAAATATATCTTACTGCTAATTTAATTAATTTTATATAATTATTCTTATTTAATTTCAGTGATATTAAAAAAGCCAGATTATTGCTGAAATCCGTAAGAGAAACGAATCCTAATCATCCTCCAGCATGGATTGCTTCTGCACGTTTAGAAGAAGTTACAGGAAAAGTGCAAGCTGCACGAAATTTGATAATGAAAGGCTGTGAAGTAAATCCTACATCAGAAGACTTATGGTTAGAAGCAGCTAGACTTCAACCACCAGATACAGCTAAAGCAGTAATTGCTCAATCTGTTCGACATATACCAACATCTGTTAGAATTTGGATAAAAGCAGCAGATTTAGAAACCGAAACAAAAGCAAAAAGAAGAGTATATCGTAAAGCATTAGAGCATATCCCAAATTCAGTAAGATTATGGAAAGCTGCAGTAGAATTAGAAGAGCCAGAAGATGCGCGAATTTTACTTAGTCGAGCGGTCGAATGTTGTCCAACTAGTGTAGATTTATGGCTTGCGCTTGCTCGATTAGAAACCTATGATAATGCCAGAAAAGTACTTAATAAAGCAAGAGAAAATATTCCAACTGATAGACAAATTTGGACAACTGCTGCTAAATTGGAAGAAGCAAATGGGAATAAACATATGGTTGAGAAAATTATTGATCGTGCAATATCTTCTTTAAGCGCAAATGGTGTGGAAATTAATAGAGAACATTGGTTTAAAGAAGCTATGGAAGCTGAAAAGGCTGGAGCAGTACATACATGTCAAGTAATAGTTAAAGCAATTATTGGTTTTGGAGTAGAAGAAGAGGATAGAAAACATACATGGATGGAAGATGCAGAAACTGTAAGGCTTTATATTCCATTTATATTTAATGTTATACAATCAAAATATATATATTATATATGCATTCATATATTTGCATTTATATATTTGCATTCATTTTAGTGTGCTCAACAAGGTGCATTGGAATGTGCTAGAGCAGTATATGCTTATGCATTATCGACATTTCCAAGTAAAAAATCAATTTGGTTACGTGCTGCTTATTTTGAAAAAACGTATGGAACACGAGAATCTTTAGAATCTTTGCTTCAAAGAGCAGTTGCTCATTGTCCAAAGAGTGAAGTACTTTGGCTTATGGGTGCAAAATCAAAATGGTTAGCCGTAAGTAAAATTCTTAAAAAAAAAAAAAATTTTTACGAAAATATTTTTATAATTAATATAAAATTTTTTTTTAAGGGAGATGTTCCAGCAGCAAGAGGTATATTATCACTTGCATTTCAAGCAAATCCAAATTCGGAGGAAATTTGGTTAGCAGCTGTAAAACTAGAATCAGAAAATTCTGAATATGAAAGAGCTCGACGATTGCTTGCGAAAGCACGAGCATCTGCACCAACTCCTAGAGTGATGATGAAAAGTGCAAAATTAGAATGGGCTCTGAATAATCTTGATGCAGCTTTATTACTTCTAAAGGAAGCATTAGAAGCATTTGATGATTTTCCAAAATTATGGCTAATGAAAGGACAAATCGAAGAACAACAAGGAAACTTGGATAAAGCTTTAGAAACATATAATCAAGCTGTAAATGTTCATCTCATATTTTTTATTAATTATTAATTAATCTTTATTAATTATTTATTTTTATTTATTTATTTTATTTTTATAGATAAAAAAATGTCCGAATTCTATTCCATTGTGGCGTTTATTAGCACAATTAGAACATAGAAAAGGTCAAGTTACTAAAGCTAGATCAGTTTTGGAAAAGGCTCGTTTAAAAAATTCGAAGAATCCAGAACTTTGGTTAGAAGCTATCAGAAATGAATTAAAGACTGGTGGTGTTAGAGATATGGCAAATACGCTTATGGCAAAAGCACTTCAAGAATGCCCAACATCTGGTTTACTTTGGGCAGAAGCAATTTTTATGGAACCTCGACCGCAAAGAAAAACAAAAAGTGTAGATGCTTTGAAAAAATGCGAGCATGATCCTCATGTGCTTCTTGCAGTATCTAAGTAAGTAATTAACATAGAATATTTTTATAAAATAAAATATTTTAATATTTTATAAAAATATAATTTATATTAATAATTTTTTATCATTTTAATAATTATTTGATAGATTATTTTGGTGTGAACATAAAATTTCGAAATGTCGAGATTGGTTTAATCGAACAGTTAAAATAGATCCAGATTTAGGAGATGCTTGGGCATATTTCTATAAGTTTGAACTTTTAAATGGAACAGAAGAACAACAAGAAGATGTAAAAAAGAGATGTATTGCTGCAGAACCTCATCATGGTGAAAATTGGTGTAAAGTTTCCAAAAATATAGTAAATTGGTGTTTAAGTACTGACCAAATTTTAATATTAGTTGCAAAAGATTTACCAATTCCAATATAATATTTGATTAATAATTTAAATTAATATTTTATATAGATATTTTTTAAAAATTAGTTATAACTGAATAAATAATTTAAATATAAAATTTTTTAAAATTCACTTTTAATTTCCATTTTATTTTACTTAAATATTTTAGCTCATAATTTATTAGCATTTATTAATATTATATATGCATATTTTTTTAACAATTTAAGATATTTCAATTTCAAAGCCATTTCTTAAACATATATAAATATAAATTTATATATGTTTAAGAAATGGCTTTGAAATATTATAAATAATATATAAATTTTATGAAATAAAGAGAGTAAATAGTAGGAAAAAGATAAAGATAGGATAAAAATGTTAAAATCAGTTTTATATTCAGAGTGCCGCAAATTCAACAAAGAAAGAATAAAAAATAGTAAGAGAAAAATAGAGATAAAATAAGAATTGACCATCAGTGTCAACTTTTAAGTGTCAAAAACATTTGTTTAAAATAAAAGAAAGATAATATAACAATTATATTTTATAATATAAAAATCATCGCTATCTCTTGAGTATTTTTGAGTATTTTTAAGATATTTTTAATATTTAATCTTATTCAAGCATTGATCGTCAATTCTTAGCTTATTTCTGTTCTGCTCTTTCTACTATCCTTTCTCTTTATATTTCATTTGCAGTATTCTGAAGATGGCGTTGATTTCAATATTTTTATTGTATCTCTATCCTTCTCCCACTGTTTGTATTTTTTGTGCATTTTTTTCTATAAATTCTAGATTGCTATATTATATTATGTCTCTATCATAATAATTATATATATATTTATTTTAATTTTATTATACCACTATTAATATTACAATCTTATTCTGTACCGAATCGATAATATTGTAAATGATATTAAAATGGTATGTGATACGTAGATTTAAGTATATTTTAGAAAAACAAAAAATACATTGAATAATATGATAATATGTTTATGTATCTTGTTTATGATTTTAGCATGTTTAGTGATTGATATTAAAAAATTGGTAT